GGGGCTGGAGCCCAGAACCTTCTTGCTGTGAGACAACAGCGCTAACCACTGTGCCACCATGCCGCCCAATGCAGAACATTTATTGCTTTTTTTTCCCCCTTAGTGTATCATTTAAGAGTGTTTGTAAAACTGGGAAAGCATCACAAACAGCTACAAGATTGATTTTGTAAACTTTTATTCAACCTGGTCAATCAGAACAACTTATTTACTGGAACACCTTTTAAAATGAAGTGGTGTCAGGTGTAGCTTCACTGCAATAGGAAGACAAAGAGATGGCGTTCTTATAAGTGAGGAAGTGAGATACACATCTGCCCTCTGTTTTTTTTTGCTAACAGCAAATACTGAAATGCAGATGGTACCACAGGTATCAGCTCACAAGCTCCACTGTTCATTGAGAAATCATGCTCCACACACTGTAAACAATGTAGGTTTTACAGCTGCAACACTGCATTAGTACTGCACACACTGCCGATAACAGTAAAACTAATTGAGTAAATACAAGAGACTACAACTCCAATTAGAAGAAAGATGTCAACAAAGGATGTGCAAAAACTGCAATCAGATACCATAATGGTATCATAACAGGTAACATAATGGTGTTATTCAGACTAGATTTGATCTATAACCATAAAATGGAGGGGGGCGTCAAAAGTGAAGACAGATGTGTGAAGAACAGGGTGAATTGTAAATTGAATGTGTGAGTTGCTGAGAAAGGGACAAGGGAAGAACACAGAGAGAAAGCAATGAGGTGGAGGAAGAAAAGAAGAGGTGGAGAGTGGACTGTGGTCCGAATACAAGTCCAGTCACGATGGAAATGACGCAGTTCCATTCACTGTTTCCAGGGTGTGTCGGAGTCTGCTGTTCTACATGGCACCGCGACCACTGTGGGCATCGGCCAGCTCCAGCAAAGAGCGTACAGTGCAAATACTCGTGTTCATAGGTGTCTTTATTAAAGTCAGGCTGTCTGTATATACTGTACACACAGTGAATAATTGTGCCGTTTGCTAGGTTTCCTTTCATTTCAGCCTGAAATAAAACTATATAAACCTGTTTTGCATGAAGTTTTAAATATGACTCGGTTATGTAAATCTTATCTCTGTACTTTGGTTTTAACAACAGCAATAAGGGAAGTCTGATTTAATGATTGACTTGAAACAAAAGTTTGACATTTTGGAAAATAGGCTCATTAATTTTTCATCAAAGACCGCGATGAGAAGATGGATGCCATTCTAATATGGTTTCCTTTGTTTAACCTGCAAATCATATAGAAAGTCACTTTCGGCTTTTCCCATTTTAGGGGTCGCCACAGCAAATCGTCACTCTGATGACTCGCATGTTGACATATGGCACGAGTTTTACGCCGGATGCCCTTCCTGACACAACCCTGATTCGAACCCGGGGCTTAGCCTGCAAATCATATGATGTGTAAAAATAACAATTTGCTGTTTTATGGATGATTATATACCAGACAATTTCTTGGTTGCGAGTAGCTTCCTAGAAATCTGTGGAGACTTACGGGAGTCACTCTGACTAAGAAATAGTCCCCTAACCCTCCAGTCTGCTTTTCTGCAGGTTAATTAAATAAGACAATATGTTAAAAAGTGAGTTTTAATGGGAGCTAGCGGGCATTTCCTATTTCTCAAAACGTTAACTTTTCCTTTGGAATGGAAACTTCAACATATGCTGGTGTCTCACCCTGATGGCTGCCTTGTTACATTCCACACGGTTGATGGCCAGCCAGGTGGGCAGGTCCAGCAGACTCTGGAGAACCTCCTCGTCCAGCTCCAGGTGAGTGAGCTGCCCCTCCCCCTTCAACGTACTCAAGTTGATCTTGTCCGGCGACAGGTTCTTAGCAAACCTACAACACACAGACGAGAAGTGCAGCTTTGAGCCTGGAAATAATTTTAGAAATGATTCCTGGCAACGCAGCAGGCTGGCCAAAGAAACCCACAATGTTGGGCTTTTTGTGTATTGGATGAAACAAAACCAGCTTCCTTTTAATAATACACTCAAAAATAAGACTATAATTTACCTGTTTATGAGAAGACTGACCCAGCAACAAGGATGGACACAAATACTTCACAGAACTGAAACTAGATTTCAGAAAAATATATTTTTCTGTTCAGGTAGGCTGTATTTGTACTGTGGAATTAAAGTCACAAAAAAGAGAATAGAAAGGGTCGTACAGTAATAGATGTGGTAAAGGCGTTGGTCTAACGACATGCTGCAGCTCAGAATAGCTGTCACTGGCTTGGTAAATGCTGCTAAATCTCATGCTTGACAGAGTGTGTGTATCTTCACAGTAAGTCTCACACTGCCTCAGATTATAAAGCACCAAACTCACCCTAACAATGCCCATCTTTAAATTAAAAAGTATAAGCCAATATTGATATAACATCAGTGTCCTGGGGACCCATATGTGGAGATACTGTGTTTAATTATATTTTAACATTATTTTTGTGTGTTTAGTCTTTTTGCTGTTTCTCTTAAACCTACTCTACCAATAATTTCATGTCAGTTTTAGGACTTTTAGCTGCAGAGAGCTTCTCCACGGCCAGCTGCTTGAAATGGCTACTCACGGTCTGAAAACCATTTCTTATAACCTTGGCTAGGAGGCAGGTGGGGCCATGGACCGTACTTTGACAACACAGGGCAGAGAAGCTGGAAATACAACAGAAGGGCTATAAGCAGCCGAGGGTCATGGAGGGGGTAGTGTAACTGAGACACACCACTTCACTTTATTCAGACAATGTGTAAAATCGTAGTTAAGGCAGCTTTAAATACAGACTTGAACACACAAATTCCAGGTCTATGACCTAAGTGTTTTCAACCCCTATTTGCAGTTTGATTATTGGCTAATAATTAACAGAGTGGTCAGAAACTAGATCATCTATTGACCCATGCATCACCACAGACAAGTCTAATGGAATCTCTTACAACTGAAGTAATGGTTTCACATTCTGAAGCTGCTAAGAGTGACAAAACCTCGACTCTGTGACATGCAAAGGTAAAGAATGTTGCATATAAGTACGTCTCAACTCCAGAGCAACGCCGCTGGATTTACCGGTGTGGTTTTCAACCAACAACACAATAAAAATATTACAGGAGAACAGCTAAAGTAGCACTAGGCCTGAGCTGGTTGTCTATCTAAAATGACAATAGTATTAAAGCCACACAGGCAATCCCACAACCTGCTTAATCCTGTTACTTAACTAATCTCTCACACACTTACAGTATGTGTCTATCTGTAAATAGAGCCAGATCAAGGTTTAGTTTCACAGCTAACACACATCACTGATAGTGACCTGATTATCAAAGTCACAATATCTACAGGCTGAAACTTTAGTGTTCTACTGGCAAACCGCCCTCAATGTAAGACTTGATATTTAACACAAGTTTGATCAGACATCAGGAGGGCACCGATCCAACGTCTTCTCTCCCGATATCAATACCAATACCTAAACTCAGGGTATGTGCTGATATCAAGCACCAAGTTAACAGCTGTGCTTTCATCTCTCGAATCCGCATCTGTATAATATCAAAATAAAGGTAATATTAGACCATAAAATTGCTATGACCCAAAAAAGTGAATTTGCAGATCACTGTGACTGACTTGTGTAACTAATCACAAACACATTGAATTTTATAATGACAAAGAAATGTGGCTTGATTGTCATGGCCAATATCTCAACAGTCAAATAAGATGAGTATCTACACAAAGGCTACTCAGACTGGTCCCTAATATCACATGCAGTTACTGAAATAAGCAAGCAAGAACACATCTGCATTATCGCTATCCGGAACTGGTGATTTCTGATTATGGAGTAAGTGGTTAGTCTTTGAAAGACAGGCTTTTGCACTGATGGTCTTCAGTGAGCTATCAGGACTCCAGTTTGAAAGACATCTTGTCCAATGAGCAATAGTTTGTGAGTCGTCAGTCTGTCAAACTCAACACCTTCCCCTGGCAGTGTCAGATTATTCTCCAATTCAACATCTCTAAATTATTCAGCAGCAGCAGTTGGCACAAATAGAGAACCTGCCCAGAGGAATGAGGGACAAGGCACAGAACACACTTCCGCACAAACAAAACACAAATAATATATTATGTGCACATGCACTCGCTCGGGCATACACACACACTCAAGAGACAGAAACACAGAGAGATGGCTGTTGCTGGAGTGTCTCAGCCCTGTGACCAGTGAAATATTCATTCCTGTTGCTGATCATGTATCAGCTAGTCAGGGAGCTCCCTTTCTTTCAAAGTTATAAATAAATATTGTATTTAAATAATATGGTAATCAGATGTCCACTATCAGGACTACTAAGACTGAAGTTGCTCATTAGCGAGAACAGCAAGGAGGAGGTCGGGGGTATTAAGTTCACACACATGTCATCTTTCCCTTTCATGGGTTCTCTCTAGACTTCAGCCATTATTCCAGAGCTCACCAGACCAGATCCAAGCCCATGAAGGCTTTAGAACTAGTTACTATGGTTGAAGAGGTCTGTTAGCCTGTTAAACCTTGCCTACATTTTTCTCTGTAAAGGTTAAGATGGTACTAATGCACTATTTGCTAAGGGACAAACTAAATAAAGCTAATTACTATAAATTAATCATACAACAATAACAGCACTAGGCTGTTGTTTGTTGCCCAACCCTTGTTTTCTTAATAGTTGCCTAGGCACATAGCGTGGTTGTATAATTTGGAACTAAATCAACTTAAAGATGTCTGCCATAGTAGGCCGATCTTGCAGCTTTTCCCTTGTCCACAATAATGAGGGCAGACTTCAATCCACCACGCTTTATGTTGATGTTTGTGAATGGAACCTTAAGAGACTCCCAGCTGCTCTGTGAAGGTGCATTTGTGGCACAGTCTTATGACATCAGTGCCATAAAGAAAGCGGCCTGAAGCCACTGGGATCCCCCAGGAGGACGTTGCTGAGGGGAGGATATCTGGAGCACCCTACTAAATGTGCTGCCCCACAACCCAACCCTTTTAGCCTTAGTTTTTTGTGCTAGCTTTGGCAAACTAGTTAACTGAGAAGATTAATCAGTGATAATATAATCTCCTGTTTATACAGTAATGCTGGCTTCTTATGTAATATAATACTGGCAACAACATTCGCTAGGCTCATGAAAAGATATTTTCTTTTGTTTGTAGAAAATCTACAGTATGTTGAGGTGTAGATAAAAACATTGTGCAGTTCTAAGAGAGCTGTTACTGACAAGACTGCATCATGTCGATGTTACCGTCCAGTGGGTGTGCATGAGTTAATATCCGGCCTACATACTCAAACTCCTACAAGACACCGCACACATCAACGGAACAACAGTTAAACAACACACAGTCAACCTGTCAAAGGGGATTGCGTTTGTACTGGCAGCAGAGTCCTATATACACACACACACACACACACACACACACATAT